TCTGTCCACGCCATCATCTCTGTCTCCATGCCTGGCCTCACTGCCTCTCTGGGTAGGGTCACACTTTCTGCTGTTCTCGCTTGATGGTCCCATGGGCCTCTACTCCTTGTTTCTGGCTACCCCCTCCCAGTGTCTATTTCACAATGGTAGGCAAGGGAGGCCAAGATTCATAAGACAGCCAAGCATCCTAACACTTTTCCCCTTTAATGCCATGCCTCAATCCCTGTATCCTAAAGCCTTGTTATTCCAAGATTGTGCATACATCGTCATTTCCCTCTGTTCCACCTAGCACATGAGAACCTGCCCAACTGTTCTTCCATCCACCTTGTTCTTCTTTTCCCCTCCTCCTTCTTGTGTATTGCCAGCTGCCGCACGCCCCACCCCAACACCCCCCAGCTCCCAGGCTCTCCTGTGTCTATTCCCAACCCTGTGCTCTTTCTTCCCCTCCCTCCCTCCCCACCTCTCATCCCATACATACCGGTGGTCAGCAATTATATATATATATATTCCCCCCCTTTTCGGTGGGTTTTTTTCATAGTCTTTTACAATAATAGTCTTATGCAGTATTTCCCCTTTTGTGACTGACTAATTTCACTCAGCATAATGTTCTCAAGGTTCATCCATGTTATGTTATGGCTTGCAGCTTCCTAGTTATTCTTCAAGGTAGCATAGTAATCCATTGTGTGCATGTTTATCCATTCTTCAATTGATGGGCATTTTGGTTGTCTCCATTTTTGTGCTATTGTAAATAGTGCTGCTATGAACATTTGTGGGTGTATATCTACTCATGTTATGGCTCGTATTTCTTGTGGGTGAATACCAAGTAGAGGAATTGCTGGGTCATAAGGTATTTCTATTTCCAACCTTCTGAGGAAGCGCCATATTGCTTTCCAGAGTGGTTGGACTATTTTGCAATCCCACCAACAATGTAGGAGGGTCCCAGTCTTTCCGCATCCTCGCCAGCATTTATTGTCCTCTGCTTTTTTGATCTTTACTGCTATTGCTGGTGTGAGATGATATCTCATTGTTGTTTTGATTTGCATTTCTCTGATGGCTAGTGATCGTGAATATTTCTTCATATGTTTGTTGGCTGTCCAGATCTCCTTGGTGAAGTGTCTGTACATGTCCTGTGTCCATTTTTAATTGGGTTATTTGTCTTTTTCTTGTAGAGATGTTGTAGTTTCTTATATATTTTAGAAATGAGTCCCTTATCTGATGTGTCATTGCAAAAGATTTTTTCCCATTCTGTGGGTTCCCATTTTACTCTTTTGGTGAAGTTTTTGATACACATAAGTTTTGAATTTTTAGTATGTCC